ACTCCAACTATGCTGGCCTGACTTTGAGAACTTCTTGAAATCCAACTCCTCCAACTCTCTCGTATACTTCAAATCCACCTGTCGTTCCACAGTGTCCATGGGCCAAATAATTCGTTTCTGTTATGAAAATATTATTATCATTATGGATGACCAACATTAGATGCTCCATGGTATGTTACATGTTCTATGTAACTCATCTCCTTATATTTATTTCTTCATATGACACATTAGATGCACAATTGGGTGTTACATGTAACCCCCCACCTCATTTCTATTTCACATTCATTCTCACATTCATGTATATTGATTGTAAGAATGTAGGGGTTATGTGATGTATGCCTATAAATAGATGATCTCCTTGTACTAAGGAATACATGAATAAGAAAGCTCTATCCCCCCACTCTTTTTGTGTCTCTACTCTTACTCTTATGTCTATTGCTCTTCCTTGTTATTTCACAACACGTTATCAGCACGAGCTCTGCCAAAGTAATGGTTAGTCATTGTCTCTCTACATAATCACATATACTTGAGTAAGATCACAACACGATCAAGGTATGCAAATTTTCATGTCATTTCTTGTTAGTATGTTTATCTATCTCATTGTCTTTGAGGGATTATTTGATCATGCTATTTGTTTATATTATTTTATATATGTCGATCTCGTAACATGGAGTTTGTGCTTGGACATTATCAAATAATGAAAATTGCTCCTGTAGTAGCAAAATCATTATGGGTTGACTTATCGATTGCTACATTCGACATATAGAGAAATGAAAGTCTAAAGATCTCATTTTCACCCGAAGTGGAAAAAATGAAGAAAAAATGTGTCAAATGAAAGAAGTGGATCTGGTAACTAAAATATTGGAATATGAGTTACCATTGCGATGGGGCAAAATCATTGATCTTGTACCCGATGTATGAAAAGAATTTTTATTGGTCCAAGAATCATTTGAAAGAAAAATGAAAATCTATATGTGCTCCTGCAGTAGCAATATTATCTTAGAGGTTTTACAAAGTGTAAGTTAATTTCTTGTTAGTTAAAGGTGAAAAATGTATTGGACTTGTGATGATGAGAAATATTATATAATTTGATCCAAAGGCTGTTGTTTCATTCCTGGAAGCGAATGAAAACAAACCATTCTTAAAAGTGAATGGATCGAGACACACCATTATATTAATATAATTTGGTGTTTGGATAATGACAATCAGCAAATATATCTTTTCACCGGAAGTGAAAGATAAAATAATTATAAATGAGGATGATAATTTATGTAGCAAAAGTCATGATCATATACTGTAACCTTCGTATGCCGAAATGTGTTATGAAACACATATATGTTGTTGTTGTTGTTATTATTATTTTGTATATTTTTGTATATAATGAATATTTGCAAAAGTCAATACTGGTATTATATCATATAGTATGAAAGTAAGGAAAAGCTCCGGAAGAGATTGTGTTTTGTTACTTGAAGTAACTAAACAATATATTGGTGATATTCATAGTATGTAAATATTCTTATCACTATGTATATGCGCTTACAATAGTTTACCGAATCAGAAGGTGCCTCATGGCCAAAATGTAGTACAAGAATATGTGAAGGCTCCAGAAGAGCTAATGTTTTGAGACATGAATGAACTAAACTGTCAATTGAAGATGCATTACCGAATTATGAAGATATTCGCAGAAAAGAATATCATAATTGATATTGCATCAGAAATGTGTTATAAGAGAACATATACTTAACTAGAAAAATTTGTACTACATGTATATTAGTACATATGAAAGTGTAAACCAGAAGTTTGCAAGATCGGATAACTTTTTATTTTGGCATGTCCGGTCATACCATCCCGGATACAGATGCGAAAATGATTGAGATATCATACAAAAATTAAGTGAGAGTTCATAGAATTCATCAATCAAAGGATTGATTATGTGATACATGGTCTCGAGGAGAATATACTCGTGAAAATAATTGATTATGTTGAGATTTTATAAAAGTGTATGCAGAAAAATACACTCAACGTGCAAATCATATATGAATTTTATGATTTTGATTGATTCATCAACTATATCGTCATATATGTCTATTATCTAAACGCAACCTGATGTTTGCGAGATTAGTTGCCGAATGATGGATATATTTTGATGATTATCCAATCAAACAGAACTCTCTTATGAGAAGAAACTAAGTCTATCGATCTCTTATCGAGGCATATGATATCATTAATTCACATGAAGCCAACAAGTTATCATAAGTTCCCCATTTCATATAAATGGTTTTGGTCAGGGACCAAACATTTAAAATGCTAGAAAATTTGGGTGTGCAGAATATATCCCAATTGCTCCACCACAACACGTTATGAGTTCCATCAGAACTTATATTGGACATGGTATCCATTACAATGAGAGATTTTTTCATGACTCTTTTGCTAACATCATCATTTTGACGAGTTCCTTTTCGAACGTTAAGGGGGAGAAAAGTAAACAGTTGGGCATAGATATGAGTTGGAATCATCATTATCGCATTTTGATCCTCAAACGAAGAAACATGAACCCGAAGTTCATATGGTGATTCATGGAGAAAAAAACGTATTGATTGCCAAACGCCTTTTTACTCACTAAAAGGAGTGATTATGTCACATGCCCATTTGTGAATACTCCAATACAAATTGATGTCCATATTGGATAATCTAATGAGTCTAAACGAGCGCATGAAGCGTGGTAGACCAATCGGTTCCAAGGATAGATATCCTCGAGAAAGGAAGGAGCTATAAATTAAGATGGTAAACTCGAGGATAAAATAGCTCTAGAAGAGTCAAGTCATAAAATTGAGATCATAGTTCCAGAAGAATAGTAGGTACCTGAACATTTAAAATGAAGAGATCTCAATTAATTGGCTTGTATGAAGAAAGTTGGAACCGAAGTGTATTTATTGTCGACAAGGGTTTTGATTATGCTGCAGCACTGAACGTGATAGATACAAAGATGATCAAAAGTAAAAGTCTATTGATGCATGCAAAGGAATATATATTGGCCAATATAAAAGAAAGCATTAGGCTATTTGGTATAAGTTTTGGACCAGAAGTCCTTACACCTGAAGATGTAAAACTAAAGGGATACAAATGGATTTTTGTGCAAACGCGTGTGAAAATTGTGAGATATAACACAATTTCTCATAAGAGATTTCTCGTAGAAACCTAACATTAATTATGAGAGGAAATACTCTCTTGTGGTGGATGCAACTATGTTGTGCAATTTAAATAGTTTGGCAGTTCAAAAAGTATGAAATTTGCATTTGGTAGATATTGTGATAGCCTATTTGTATGGATCCCTTGATAATGATATTTATACGAAAATCCCTGAAGGATTAGTTTTCCAGAAGCAAACATGTGACGTTCTCGAGAACAATATCGATCGATAAAACAATCCTTTGTTTGGATTGACATAAAATGGATGAATATGGTATATTCATCTAAGTGAATATCTGCTAAAAGGAGTGGTCAAATAAGCCTTACGTGATTAAATTTGAATAAAGTGCATTAGAGCATTTGCATTTGGTATGTGTGATTGTGTAATGACATATAGGCTTACGTGCGTGATATTGTGATTTTAGTTATGAGTTTGATTTATGATGTGGTTTGGTTAAGTGATGTTGTGTGTATGACGTGCCTTTTTTGCTTGTGACCTTGTGTTATGAAGTAATTGTTTGCATACAATTGTGTTAGCTAAGTTTTATAGTTATTTGGAAGAAAAGAGTCGAGACAATATTTTATAATGATCTCATATGTTTTAGTTGATATGAACTCCATAAGAGATTCATAAAGCATGGTTTGCTTAAAGAAAGAAAATTGAACATGGAGGATTTAAGAAGATTCTTTTTGGATTAAGACGACAGTGTCGGAAAAGTGAAAGAACAATTTTGTATGGAAAAAATTGCATACGTTCAACAACCAAATGATCATAAGGTCACTAGAAGTGAACAAAGATCAATTTAGGCCTTGAGATAGAAGCGAGTTATTAGGTCCTGAAGTACCATATGCCAATGTCGTTAGAGCAAAAATGTATATTGCTATACTTCATTAAGTTATACTTTGTTACCTATTGGTAACGATGAGGATCATAGATGAGTAATTTGTTTACTCATGGTCGTACAAGTATCTCATGGAGATTCCAAAGAAATCACAATAACAACATCATCTTATCATGAACAATGGTCAACAATTCATGAGACTTGTTATGAATTGTTTGGTTAAGATTTGTTATTCAACACGTCTAAATGACTTGTGGTTGCGGATTATATTCATAGAAAATGATCTTGAAGATCATGTATGAAGAAAATGGTCCTAATGGATCATGCATAAAGTGACAATCTAGAAGATTTGTTCACTAATAAGCTTACCATGACAATATTTGAAAGATTTGTTCACAACACTATTGATGTTGTCATGAGGGAGAGCATATACGCACTGCACTCTTTTTTCCTTAACCATGGTTTTTCCCACTGGGTTTTCCTGGTAAGGTTTTTAACGAGGCAGATTCAAATAGCGTATTATGATGATTATGTACTCTTTTTCCTTCACTAGGATTTTATCCCACAGGGTTTTTCCTAGTAAGGTTTTAACGAGGCATATTCATGTCTAATGGTCATCCAAGGGGGAGTGTTATGAAAATATTATTATCATTATGGATGACCAACATTAGATGCTCCATGGTATGTTACAAGTTCTATGTAACTCATCTCCTTATATTTATTTCTTCATATGACACATTAGATGCACAATTGGGTGTTACATGTAACCCCCCACCCCATTTCTATTTCACATTCATTCTCACATTCATGTATATTGATTGTAAGAATGTAGGGGTTATGTGATGTATGCCTATAAATATATGATCTCCTTGTACTAAGGAATACATGAATAAGAAAGCTCTATTCCCCCACTCTTCTTGTGTCTCTACTCTTACTCTTATGTCTATTGCTCTTCCTTGCTATTTTACAACAGTTTCAGAATTATTATTTACCTCTATGTTTTTTGCCAGTTTGGAGCCCTGCAACCATAGATTCAGCAGATACCACGAAGCTACCATCGGCAAATGGACCACCCCCGTCGTTCGAACTGCTCCCATAGCGACCTGTTCCCCTTCCAAAATCGAAGCCCGGTGGTGGAAGTCCAGAAGGTACAGTCTAATCTTCTTCTAGTTGCAGGACGGACGAAATCCGGCAGCCGATTGCTGGCTCGGCTAAATAGTCGTATTCAAGCCATCGGGAACTGACATGCTTCCCGTAGGTGGTTGTGAGTTGGTGTCGCCGCCACAATCCCTCCGAGACCACAAGATTCGCCATTCACAGCCAATGACCCCAACGCTGCCCTCGTGGCGGATACCACACCAGAATGGCTCTCTCCCACGACGATGGGTCTCTTTTCGGAGCCCTGTACACATTTTCTGCCGGTAATACCTGAAACCTCAGCTCCCTTTGCTTTGAGCGTTAACTGAGGGGAAGTCATCTTCGTGGCCTGGTCCAGCGCAGCTACCGGTGTAGTTCCAAGCATGCCTTTGGTCACTCTGGCGATTGACCCAGACAAGTGTTGGATCTGATTTGTGATCTGTTGCAAGGCTGCCTGCATCGACGCCATCTCTTTCCTAAGTCATGCCCGGTCGTCTTGAGCCTTTTGAAATCTCGTCGTCATTGTCGCATTGATGTCGTTGATTTGTTTGTCAACGACTTGAAACCTATGGTCGATAGCACCTTTCACTTCACCGTTTCTGGTCTCGAGTACCATTGTGATTGCCACGGATCAACTCGTCTCTGATACCAATAGATAGATATATGATCTATTTCTACGATAAACTACAGAGAAAACTAACAACTTTAGGGTTTATTCTTCGCATAATCTGGTCGAATGACATAACAAGGGTTTATATAGTTGCCCAACCCTAACCGACTAATGACAATAAAGTAAATAACAATATAACGGTAAATAGCGTGTAAGTATACACGCATCATATAGGCTCCCGATGTTCATGATCGTGGAACCAAAGATCCTAGTTGTGAATTGTTGCACGTCATGACCTCTATTTTCCCCATTTTCATACACTTGAGCCTTGATCTTCGCCATATGCGTTAAACGGACACATATTCACCTAATATCGACCATGCATGTGCAAGGAATCAATTATAGGCTATAATGTGGTTTAAATACTCTTTAATGCACAAATGGACATTAAAACATCGAGATCTAGGAAGGTAAATAACACTAATTTGGGTATTATCATATTATCAACCCCTACATAGTTTAGAAATTTGCTTGTCTCCAAGCAAACATGTAATTAAAAGTGCAACTTGAAGTCCCTAGAATTCTCCTCTTAATGTGTTTCGTTGGAGTCGAGTCCCAAATGTCGAGAGACTGATAACACTGTATTTGAACATGTTTTCCCATCATTTCTTGATCGTTTGAGCTCGCTTTCTCGCTCTCGTGGCTTATTTTACTCTAGGTTGTGTTGGTTTATAATGTTTCAAGTCCTAGTACGTGAATGGGTGCGAATGAGCAAGTTTTGGGGCGTTTTGGAGCGAACGGGCAGAAAACAGGGAAAAGTTAAGGCCAGACCTTGAAAGTTACGGTCTGGACCGTAACTTCCCCATGAGCCCGTAACTGTGGAGAAGCAAAGGCGTGAATCCAGAAGCACGTTTAAAGTTACGGCCAGACCTTCAAAGTTATGGTATGGACCGTAACTTCCCCTCAGCACCCGTAACTATGTGGAACCGATGCCAATGGTTCCAGGAGCATTTTGAAGTTACGGCTTGCCCCTCAAAGTTACGGTCTCAACTGTAACTTCTCTATAGGAGTAGTAACTCTTGGTTTACGGAGTACAAAGGCGTCGATATTTTATGGAGAAGTTACGGGCCGAGAGAGGGAGTTACGGCCGTAATTCGCAAATCTCCATCATATAAAAGGGCAGCTCGGGCAAATTGAAAAGGATCCAGATTTTTTAGTTCTGAATAGCAGAGAGAGAACCCTAGAGAGAGAACGTAAGAAAGAACAACCCTTGGGCAATAATTTAAGCGATTTGAAGCCCTCAGAGCTCGATTCCTCACTCTCGAAGTACTGATTAGCCGCCTTGAGAAATTTTTCATTGTCCCCATGATGATTTCTCCTCCTAGCTGGATGTTTCCTCTTCTCTCCACGGAGTAAACTCCCCTTACATTTGGGTATGAAGAACCTTCGTTTTGTATGTTAGGAATGGTTGTATGAACCCCATTTGTGAATGATTGATTTGATATATTCAATTGAGTCATTCATCATAATTGGATGAGTATTGATCAAAACTTTTGTGATTCCTACTTTAACGTAGAACGATAGTCTCTGGATAGGTTAAAAGAGCAACCTTAAATTGGAAATGGTGAATCGATTGTTTTAGTCGAGAAATCGATTCACTGCTATGTACTGGAATTAAATCCAGTAGAGGAAGTTTAGTGTATTATTGCGGGTGCAGATCCTGTGACTAAGGCGGGCGGGGGGGGGGGGGAGGAGTGCTTAGTCACTTGACTAAACCCTCCCAGGCCTTAGATATGGACACAACAATGGAATGGCTATTATTTAATGACAGGGGTAGTTTGGGTATTATGGAAAATTACGAAGTATGCAAACCGGAATTACAATCAGCACAAATCATACAAACAGTACAAACTAGAACGACAAAACATACAAATAGATTTACAAACATTACAAACGTATGAACTGTACATACAATACAAACTAGACCGACAAACCATACAAAAATAAAAAACAACCAGGTTGACTTTGGAGGCTCAACCCTATAAAGAGGGGCTCCCTACCAAAGTCAACCCGATTGTTTTTTAGACATACAAACATTACGAACATGGTGACAAAAATGACAAACTAGATCGACAAAACATACAAACTGGAAAAACACTCGGGTTGACTTTGAAGGCTTCATCCCTATATAGAGGAGTTCCATCCAAAAGTCAACCAAGTTGTTTTTTAGACATAAAAAAACATTACAAACATGGTTGACAAAAACGATAAATATGGTGCACAAAAATAACAAAGCTTACAAACATTACAAAATAACCCGACAAACATTACAAAATAACAAAGCTGACAAACATTACAAAATAAACCGAAAAACAGTACAAAACATACTAATCATACAAAATGTCACAAAAAAATGACAAACAAGTATGATAAACTATACAAACCGAATCGATACAAACATTACAAAATAGCTCAACAAACATCACAAATCCAACACTATCGCCGAAAAATCCTTTACCTCCTTTGTTGGTAGCCGGAAAATTTCCTATGTTCAGCAAAAATCTCTCTCTCTCTCTCTCTCTCTCTCTCTATCTCTCTATCTCTCTCAGGTGTTGGGGAAAGAAAACTACTTTTGGGACACAAAATCCCACCGTCAGGAAAAATTCCCAGGATTGGCGGCCGCAGGCGGGGAGGGCGGAGGGGGCAACAATCTTTTTTGTTTTTGTAATTTAATTGTTAAATAAATAAATAAGGTAATTACCACATTACCCTTCATTGAACTAGATAAATCTGAACCATTAGATTTTAATGAGCTTCAATGGCTGAGATTGGATTAGTCATGTGACTAAGGGACACCCCCCCCCTAGTCACCTGATCTTAGCCCGTGTTATTACCTTGGTTAATTTATGCCGCTGGAGGTTAGTCCCCCGTCGGGTCTTCAAACCGAGAGGGTCTGGATTACTTTAGTCGAGATTCCATACTAGTAAAAAACTTTCCGCACTATATCTATCAATCAGAGTTAATTGAGAACATATAATCTGAATTAGCTACATACTAGCGGGAATCATACCTGGATGACCTCTAGCATACTTTAAAAACCAAAACAGTTTCTGCTTATAGTTTAATTTGCATTTGAACAACTTACTACACTTAGGTTGCTAGATAATAGAAGTTTACTGAGTAGGTAGTAGATCAAGACACAGGGTGGATATTAAATCTGAACCACTATCCTGCAATTCCATCCTACGATTACACTTGGTCGTAGTTTGATGTTGTGTTTTAGCGAGTCAGAGACATCTCAATATTCCATGTTTCTTCTTGACTTACTCGAAAAATCTTACTATGAATGCTCTCACATGAAAGGAAGAAAGCGCAAGGCACAAAACAAGACTTCTGATTATAGGTAAGAAGTATGAATGCTTATACGGTTTTGTTATATAATTTCCACACAACCTTTTATCCTCTTTTTGAGATTTTATCTTTGGGTTTGTAGTAACATTGATTTTTTATTTATTTTTCTGACCAGGCAAGTTGTAACACCCCGGTAGTTTAGATTTAGGTTCGACTTTAATACGTGATCGGTTGGGTTGACGGTTACTTACTAAGAGTTACAATCGCGGATTTAGAATAATAATATTATAACATTATTTTTATTATAATATTATTATTACTAAAGGGAAAGAGAAAAATAAAAAATTAATTAATTAATTAATACCTGGGAAAGGGCCGAGCGGCCACTTCCCCAGGAAACCTCCCCACCAATAAATCCCCCATCTCCCCAGCAGCCTTTTCCCCCAAATAAAAACCCCACCGCCGCCCAATTCTCATTCCCCAGTGAGAGGCGAGTTTTCTCGGCGCGAGGCAAATTTCCCCAGCGCGAGGGGAAAAGAAGGAGTTGTCGATCCCGATCCCGATTCCAATCCCGATCTCATCTCTTTCGTGTTCTAGGTAAGGACCACGAACCCCTTCGCGATTTCTAACCTCGATTTATCGATAGTCTAATTCGAAACTCGTATTTTATTAGCGGTGATGTTTGAGGGTCCGATCAGCGAGGAGATCAACGTCCCAGGTCATCCAACCTAGGTCTAGGCACGTTCTAGAGGTAAGAGAACTCGATCCCTTTGAGTTAGGTCGATTGATTTGGTGATTTTTCTTGAGGGTAGAATTCTGAGCTTTTAGCAACAGGCTTTACAGACTTTTAGTGACAGATTTTGATTGGTCAGTAAAGCTGCTGGGAATTCCAAGAAATATATTTTTAGATGTTTTAAATATTTTCGAGCCTCTCTGAAGGTTTTTTCTGAATTTAACAATTTTAAAATTGTACGACGTCTAGGAGATGATTGTAATTTAATTTGGGGATTTTTGGAGATGTATTTCAATTTTTAGAAATTGTTCTAATATTCATTTTAATTAAATAAAAATAATTCCGAGGAGTTTATAGGGGTTTGATAATTTTCCAGGGTATAGGTACTCATGATTGATGTAGGAAAATTAGTATCCAAATTTTTAAGAAGTTTCAAGGTAGGTGGAAAATTTGTCCAAGACTAAAATAATTAAAAAAAATGGTCGGTTTTGAAGGGATTAATTCTAGAAAATTTTAGTGGGGGTTAAGGGATCTTTGGAGTGAGGTTCGAGGATGGGGCTTTGAGTAGAGGGTATCTGGGTAGATAAAAAGGAGGCTTTTGAATCGAGAAAGGTTGTCTTAGAGTATGAATTTCTTATTAATAGGTTTCCCCAAGATAATCCGGCTAAGGAGGGGTTTCTTCGAGGAAGGAATTGAGGAGTCATATTTTCGAGGTGAGTGTAAAGGAGGTAAAATCTCCGTCGAGATCTTTTTAGTTTATGCTTTTCGTTTGAGTTATTATTAATTAGTTAATTTTTGAGTAATGCGCGATATGTGTGTGAGGCATCCCACCGCCTGTAAGGGTGGAGGCACACGTTGTGCTATGTATGAATGTATGTGACTTTTGTATAGTTGATGATATGAGGAACCCCGGGCGGTTGGGCCACTACTAGACGCGGTAGATGGTCGGATCACTGCTGGACGGCGAGACGTAACGCAGCAATTGATCGAGTATGTTGGGGTCACTACTGGACGGCGAGACGTAACACAGTAGT